TTTCTTAGCAGGGAGGAGGGTGCGAGTCACTGCACACCCCCTGCTGATTGTACAGGCAGAGAAGGCCACAGGAAACCTGCTCATGGCGCAGATGACAGGTTAGTGACCAAAACATGCAGAGAATGTTTCTTTTAAATTGCAGCATCAGCAAGCTTTCTCATGTTTATCTAAAGATTGGTTGTGTTTTTATCATTTTTTAATGGGGGGGGGTGTTTGCAGAAAACCCCTGGTGTTTGAGGTTTTAGAAAACTTTTGTAAAAACACACAGAAATGGCTTTTTGATGAATTCTTAGAAAGGGAGGGGTCACCGATTGAGACACACATTAAATAAACGAATTAAATAATTAAATAAAGAAAACATTGTAACAATAATCTAAAAATATATGCTTTTGATAAATCAACATTTCTTAATAAACTTTTGTATTTTTGAAAAAAACTTTTATTTAAATGGCAAAAATTGTAAAACAAAATACAGGCAATTGGACATCTAACAAGAAGATTTCTAATCCTTAATGGAAACAGTTTAGATATTTTGTCGAGTTTATAATTAATGCTGTAAATAGCTTAATGTCTGTGTAAATAAATCTAGGTAGCGATTGGATTTCCAATTATTTGATAATTATCCCAATAATCTGATTAATCCCATGGATGGTTTCAGTTAAAATGCAACAATATAAAGCAGCTCAAAGTTTGTCAGATTTAAGTAGATTTAAAAATGCCTGAAAACAGACAAAGATCCTGTGTTTTTAAAGACCCATTAAATAGCTTTCTTCCTTTTTCTAATAAATACACCTGTAGAAAATTTTAATTACTGCTCATAACCTCCAGATTACATTTTTTTTCCAAATGGTTAGACCTAATTTCTGCCTAAATGAATCCTAATTCCCAGTAATGTGTAAAACAAAGCAGAGCATCAGACTGAGCTCCTTCCTGCCTGATGTTTCGCCTCTGTGACCTCCGCCAATTTCAGCCTCATTTCTGTCCAACTTTGTAGATCAGACCTTAATTTTGAAGGCCGGATCAGGGGACAGTGATGAATAGGCCACATCAAGGAGGGCTTAAATTACCCCGCTCCCTGGTGGCAACACTGACCACAAGGAAAGGTGTGTGCATGCGTCTGTGTGTGTCGTGACCTAGTGGAGCAGACGGAGAGAGAAAGAGGGCTGGTCAGCACTTGGCCTCTCAACCCTGCTGGCTCCGCAGCAGAGGGAGAGAAGAGGAGGCGATCTCTTTCCTGCGCCTTTATCCTCCTATTTTTAAAACATTTCTGTAACTTTTCAGGGGATTTGAGGAGTGACTTCAAAGCACAGCCTAATTTCCCTCCTTCTGTCAGTTTAAATGCAAATAGTTGCTGGAAGGTGATGCTGGAGCTGAATCCAGATGTTCTCCCCTCATTGCTGGACATTTAGGGGGGGTAGGAAATGGTTTTATATGGTCCTCTAATGAGCAGCACATTTGGAAATGAACGAGTAGCGATTCTAGTAAAAAAAAATCTATTTTCTTACTGAATTAATCAAATATAAGATAGTTAAATATAACTAAATATGATAAATATTTATCAAATTAAATGTTTAATATATGCCTTGATGCATTCAGCAGTTTTATACTGATTCAGTTTTTAATTAAAGGCAAAACAAGATGAAGGAGAAAGAAACGGAAAGTATTTATCTGCTGAAACAAATAATGTCAAATAAAATATATGCAGATGATGTATTAAAAGTATGTCTGCAGTCACACTGATCATCCATGTCCTTCAGCTCTGTCTGCAGCTTTGCAGCAGCTGCATTAGAAACCAGATGTTTGGTTAAATCGTGGCCATGAGAACATTTTTTAAAACGTCTAAATAAACATTTACGTTTTAGATGTGTGAGTTTCTTAAATGAATGAAGCATTGAACGTCAGGAGACGGAGGGATGGAGCTAATTTACTTCTTCATACCCTCCCACACATTTCCGACTCCAAAAGTACTAATAATCCCTTCACTATACATATCCTGTTCCTCATCCAATTGTTAATAACCTATTGTAAAATAACCATAAGCAATAATATTTATAAATAATAACCTGAAGAAAAAAAATGTTGTAAATATCTTAAAGTTTATTATATTTTCAAATCTGGTTAAATTTGGACATAGATGTGTTCACGTTTTACTTTTTTTTTCTTTGCTGTTTTCCCAACTTATGTGCTTGTATGGTATATTTAATTATCTAATTGTCCATTTTATAATTTAAAAATAAAAAATAAAATGTACATATTACTCTCTGATGTATTCTGGCCTTCAAACAGCTCAGGGATGACAGCATCAGTAATTGTGGGGTCTGTTTGTGACCCTCTGCTCTGATAAAAACTTCAAGCTTTAATGTGTGTGTGTGTGTGTGTGTGTGTGTGTGTGCTCCTGTTTTGGGATCAGATTGAGGACCGCTTGTCCTAAAGTGAGGACATGTTTTTGGTCCTGCAGTGGGAAAAAGTATTCAACTATTTGCTCCAGATAGATAAATGGAGATCAATAGATTTTCTATTTTTCTCTTTGCAAAGAGAGAACATTTCATGCATGGTAATCAGCCCTGTTTCGTCCTGGGCAGTGTTAGTTCTCCTTCCTTACAATAGTGGAAAGTTGTCAGAGTCAAAACAAAAACACACTTTGGTTAAAAAGCAACATGTTATAAATAAACCTTGAGAAAGAATCTGGAGAAAGAAGGTATGTCTTTAAAAAAAAAAAAACTCAGGGGAATTATAGGTGAAACAGCCTGAGTGAAAAACTTTTATAGTGAGTAAATAGGATAAATTAATAAATGAAAAAGGAGAAACTATATTTTCCGAGCACAGTCTCAACTTCCTGTTATGCTGGAGGTAAATTACTGAGGTGTGAACTGGGTTTATGGTCATTTAGGATCTGGTTCTGATTATTATCAGGTTTAAGGAGAGAGGAAAGGGTTAAAATGTCTGAAAATCAGCGGAGGTAAAGAGTCCTCACTACATATAGCGAGATGGGACGGTGTGTGTGAGTGTGTGTGTGTGAGAACGCAACACCATTTTTATTGATAATTATTTACTCATAAAGAGCAAAGAAAATAAACTTTTTATCTAAAACAGAAGAAAAAAAAACGCATCAATATTGGTTCCGCTGACCCACGTAGAAACTTGAACTCTTCCTGCTCATTTCCAGGTGAAAACAGGCGTGAGTGTGGAGCTGCTGCACCCTCTCTCACAGCGTGTTCACATGCGGTAACTTCACATATTCTCCAATTCTCCACGCTCCGTGGAAAACCCCTTCAGGGCACCGATTAGGCTACGCGTGAAGCTGGAGCCCGTGGACTCCTGCTCCGTCCGTGGGTGGGAGCGGACGGACTGAGGTTCTGTCAGGAGTCAGTGAGCTGTCTGTGACTCAAACACGCACAGAAAGCAGGTCCAATAAAGACTCGCTTCGGCCTGGTGTTTGCAAGACATGCGGGAAAATCTGCGCTTTTTTTTGGGGATCAGTAGCATAAATACGCATAAGAGCAAAATGATCCTGAATAGTGGGTTGTTTTGGGGAGGGAGGGGGCCCGTGGCGATGTTTTACGCACGGGCCTCCAAGAATATCAGCAGCGCAAGAGTTTCCATCGGGCAGCCGGAAAATGGTGCAGCTGATGCTGCTCATTTATTAGGAAGAATCCTGCAATAATCCAACATATTTGGTTGATTTGGCTGCAATGAAAGTGATCCCGGTGAGAAAAGTGATGCATGAAGGAGAAAAGAAATGTTGCATCCATGCATCAGCGGCGCGTGTTTCTGTGAAATCATTCAGGCTTTATTGGAAATCACTGATCGTTTAACATTTCCTCTCTGATCTCTCCTCTTAACGCTGAAAACTTTTATTTTCTCTGTTTTTTAGTTTGTTTCTTATTTTTACTGAGGTCCAAAAGAAGCGGAACAACAGAAACTTTAAACAGAACAAGAACTAAAAGTTTGTTTAAACATTTTTTCTGTATTAAATCCGTAAAAAAAAATTAAATTTAACTTTTAGTCAGATGTGTTTTTCAAATTTGAACGTATTTAGAATATATTTTATTATTCCATCTTTTTTGACGGTCTGTTGAGCAAAACTTTGGGGAACTTTTGGGGAACGTTTCTTCTCTTTGGCTCCTGGAGTTCAGGTCCTGTTTAGTTGTGGTTTGATCCCCCATGGAGGCGATCATCAAGAGGAGATGATTTGGTGCAGGTTTACACCTCCTCCTCCTCCTCCTCCTCTCAGACCTGCTCTGCGCAGCTCCATCATTTAGGAGAAAAACGACCAAACAATAACTTGTTTGCGATGTTTATAACAAAAAATATTTGTTGTTCTCGTTTTACATTAATTGTTGTTGTTTATTACAGTTATTTATCGCTTTTTAAAATACTTATACATTCATATAAGTGGAAAAAAATTAATCTGATTTACACCCCCCCCACACACACACATATATAAATGCTTTTAACATTCTAAAATTTATTTTGGTAATATAAATGTATATATATATATATATATATATATATATATATATATATATATATATATATATATATATATATATATAATATATATATATATATATATATATATATATACTGCATCTAAATACATATGTATACATTTATATATATATGCTACTTTTCGGTGTTTTCCAAAATAAATTATTTTAGATTTTTACAAACCGCGCATTCTTGCATAGTTATTTTTTTACATCAAAACCACAAAGAAGTTTTTAAGACGATGACTCAATAACTGAGTTATTTTTAAAATCTTTGTTTCTTTTTCAGGTCTTAAAGCAGCAAAACAAGCATTAAAATAAAATCAGCGTTCATGAGGAAACAAACATAAACAACGAAGGAGCGTTTTAGTCCGGAGGAGGAAAGGATGAGCGGCGATGGAGTGGCACCTCATCCTCTGGGGGGGGCGAGGAGAGAGAGCGCGCGCGCGCGCGCGTGGTCGTGTGTGTGAGAGAGACACTGATGGATGCACCAATGGAAAGACGGACAGATGCTGGGGCGGATCTAACGGCGGAGCCGCGCGCTCAGTCACGGACAGATTCGGAGCGGAAACGTCGTTCATGTGCGGAGCAGAGGAAGCGCTCTGGCTGGAAGGAAGGGATGAGAGCAGTTAGCGAGCGGACAGCTGCACATCTGGATGGGGAGGAAGATCGGAGGAGAGCAGCGTGAAAGGAGAGAAGAAAGAGAGCAGGAGGAGGAGGGCAGCAGCCTTTGGTAACTCAACCTTACCTTCCTTCTTCATTTTTCTTTCCACAAAAACCTTCAATCCGCCGCTGAAAGCTGCGCCGCTCCAAGAAAACTTTTCTTCCCAATAAGGTGAAATCAAATCAAAAAAGAAGAAAAATCATCTGTTAAAGTTCTGAGCTCACCTGAGAACTGCTCTGATCAGAGAGAAAAACTTTGCTGCGGGAGCGGAGGAAGAAGACATGTCTGCCTGAAAACAGGAGAGAAAAGAAAGGAGGAAAAGAAGACTCTCCTCCAGGAAAGTGTGTCGGAGCTGCTCCTCCGCGCGCCCGCCTGCAGCCTGCTCCTCCTCCACCTCCTCATCTACATCATTACAAACAAGGGAGACCCAATCAAGCGCGTATCTCGTCGATTCACGCACGCGCGCACGTGTGTGTTTGTTGTGAAGCGTGTCGCGCGCGCGCGCCCATGCTGCCTGAATGACTTGCCTCCCAGCAGATGTTTTCTCGCAGCACACCTCGGGGAGCCTCCTCCTCCTCCTACTCCTCTGAAGCGGAGGAAGAGCTTGAATGAATGGATCCGGAGAGGAGCTCCAGCGGCTGGTGCCAGAGGAGCGCATGGAGCCTGTGAAGTAAGTCAGGACCAGATCATCTGCTCACTCCGCCCCCCCCTCCGGTGAGCTTCAGGAAAATATCGGAGGGCTTGAAGAAGTCAGGAGGCGTCAGAGAGGGGGTGGGTGGGGAGGGGAGGGGGGCGGAGAGCTGGCTGTGAGCGCGAGGGGCGCAGGGTTTCAGTGTGTCTGTAGCTGCTGCTCCTGACTGACGCAATCATCTGTTGTTTTTATCCCTCCAGCTCGCCTGTTGCCACTGAGTCACACTGAGGATCACAGGGAGACGCAAAAAAAAAGGGCGCAGATCGGCCGTTATTCTGTTGGACCCCCACCCTTACTCCACCACCTCCATCAGAGCGGAGCGGTGAGCCGCGCGCTCCTCTCTGGCTCCTTCTCATCCCGGTTTTTTTTTATTTTATTTCCCCGCAAAACTGCAGCCAAGTCCTCCGCCTTCAGCAGCTCGGTCTATGCGGAGCCAGGCGGGGGAGAAACTGGATCAAAGCTCCTAAGGATATCCCCCCCCCCCCCTACCCCCTTCCCTCCCTCCCCCCCTCCCCTCCCTGTTGCTGGGACCCTGAAGCCGACATGCCGCGGAGGAAGCAGCAGGCGCCCCGGCGCGCCGCAGGTAACGCGCTGCTTTTGTTTCGCATGTTTTACAACAATTACCCCCCCCCCTCACCTTTTTAGTTGTGTAAGGTTTTGCTATATTAACCTGTCAGAAAATGCCACAGATACAGATTTACCTGCTTTTTTAAAGTTTGTGTCAAATGGATTAAAGGATAAATCCTTTCTTGCTAAAACTAAAGACTCTTTGGTCATTTTGGATCCATTTCCGCTTGTTTTGGTTAGAAACAGATCATCGTTTACTGATTCTGGAGGAGTTCTCTTATTTTTATTTTTATAATTACTGCTTCTTTTTAATTTAAAGATTTTAAAATGTAAAAACATGTATTAATCCGGCTCACATGCGTGTTCATATTTTGATGGAATCAGATTCAGAGGTGTTTACATGACAGAGCTGTTAATTAATCTCCTAAAAGGTCACAGGTCACCTGGGAGTTTGTGTCCTTTCAGAAATCCCAGTGGGATGGAAGTTTTTTCAGAGCGATCCTCTTTTTTTCTGTTTTACCCACAGAAACTCGGATTCATTTATAGTTTTAGAGGATTTTTTTTTTATTCCATAAAGCTCCACGTTTTTCCCCGGGTTCGAGCTCCTCATCTGAATTTAGAGGTTTGAAAGTAAAGGATCTGAAATAAAGTCGTTTAAGATCGTGGTTGCTGTTTTAAAATATAACTCTCTGCATCGTTTCCTTTTTGTTATTATTATTTTATATAAGTCTTTGTTGTTTAGGATGGAATTCAGCTTATTATGTCAGAAATCTCACTGATAGTTTCAGCTGTTTTTGGTTTTGGTTCCGTTTCTGGGAAGAACTTTTTATTTTTAGCCAGTAAAGATTATGTTCCGCCCCCAGGCTGGGAGAGCAAACTAGGAGACACCATAATGGACAGTTGCTGCCTTTGACTTGATGCCTGATTGATGGCATGTCATTAGTCGGAGCCTTTGGTCTGTTCCCACCCGTTAAGTCTTAATGAATCGCCCCTCGCTCCTCCCCGTTCCTTCATAAGCTCCCTCTGCTAGGACCCGTCCAGTCACTCAACTCATTTCTAGCACATCTTTGTGATGTAGTTTTATTTTCTCCACCTGGACTATCCACGGTCGGAGGATTATTGGGCCACTTAGGCCACTATACAACGACCAGCCTTTTAGACTGGCTCCTTAAGTGTTAGCGTGGATGGAAAGGAGAGGACTGCTTTGCTCCATCAGAGGAGCCGTCAGAGAGAATTTGTTTCATATTTGATTTAATTGTCTGCCCTCTGACAGCCACATTCATCAACGGCCCTAATGGTCAATCAGACATTGGCACAGAGACGCGAAACGCTGAGGGAGACTCATGTATGTCAGGCTGGAGACTAGCTGGATCAAAATGTTTTAGTCCTAATGGAAACGATGGTTGGAGGAGGAGGGGGGGTGAAGGAATGCCTGTAAAGACGGATGGATGGATGGATGGATGGATGGATGGATGGATGGATGGATGGATTAATGGGTGGATGGATGGATGATAGATGGATGGATGGATGGATGGATGGATGGATGGATGGATGGATGGGTGGATGGATTGATGATAGATGGATGGATGGATGGATGGATGGATGGATGATGGATGGATGGATGGATGATAGATGGATGGATGGATGATGGATGGATGGATGATAGATGGATGGATGGATGGATGGATGGATGATGGATGGATGGATGATAGATGGATGGATGGATGGATGATAGATGGATGGATGGATGGATGGATGATGGATGGATGGATGATAGATGGATGGATGGATGGATGGATGATGATGGATGGATGGATGGATGGATGGATGGATGGAAGGATGATAGATGGCTGGCTGGATGGATGGATGGATGGATGGATGATGGATGGATGGATGGATGATGGATGGATGGATGGATGGATGATGGATGGATGGATGATGGATGGATGATAGATGGCTGGATGGATGGATGGATGATAGATGGATGGATGATGAATGGATGATGGATGGATGGATGATAGATGGATGGATGGATGATGGATGGATGGATGATAGATGGATGGATGGATGGATGATGGATGGATGGATGGATGGATGGATGATAGATGGCTGGATGGATGGATGGATGGATGATGGATGGATGGATGGATGGATGGATGATGGATGGATGGATGATGGATGGATGGATGGATGATGGATGGATGATAGATGGCTGGATGGATGGATGGATGATAGATGGATGGATGATGAATGGATGATTGATGGATGGATGATGGATGGATGATGGATGGATGGATGGATGATAGATGGATGGATTGATGACGGATGGATATTAGATGGATGGATGGATGGATGGATGGATGGATGATAGATGGACGGATGATCAATGGATGGATGGATGATGGATGGATGGATGGATGGATGGATGGATGGATGATGGATGGATGGATGGATGGCTTGATGACGGATGGATATTAGATGGATGGATGGATGATATATGGATGGATGGATGGATGGATGGATGATCGATGGATGGATGGATGATGGATGATGGATGGATAGATGGATGGATGGATTAATGGGTGGATGGATTGATGATCGATGGATGGATGGATGGATGGATGGCTTGATGACGGATGGATATTAGATGGATGGATGGATGATATATGGATGGATGGATGATAGATGGATGGATGGATGGATGGATGATGGATGATGGATGGATAGATGGATGGATGGATTAATGGGTGGATGGATTGATGATAGATGGATGGATGGATGGATGGATGATAGATGAACGGATGATGGATGGATGATGGATGGATGATGGATGGATAGATGGATGGATGGATGATGGATGGATGATAGATGGATGATAGATGGATAGATGATGGATGGCTTGATGACAGATGGATATTAGATGGATGGATGGATGATATATGGACGGATGGATGGATGGATGGATGGATGGATGGATGGATGGATGGACGGATGGATGGATGGATGATAGATGGACGGATGATGGATGGATGGATGGATGGATGTAGCAAGATAAACGAGATGATTTCTCTAATAAACAAATAAGGAGACATGAGTTAAAGGAGGCATTTCTACCCTCCCTCTCTCCTTTCTTCCTTCCTTCCCTCCTTCCCTCCAGCTGCAGGCTGCAATTCTCCGCCACACAACGAAATGATGACAAACTGATTGCTCTTCAGTAACGGCAGTAGTTAAAGGCAGAATGCAAATGATCGGCCTTGATTAGGATTTTTATTGGTGTAGTTAAAAAAATGAAATCCCCTTTTTTTCACTCTTCTTCAGCTTGAACATGGGAGGGGTTTATGCAGAATTAGTTCTCACTCCATGATGCGTTCTGGACCGACTCGCCCACACTCGCTTCCTGCCCAGGTGTCGCAGCGCGCCCAGGCAGCTAAACAGAGAAGTTGTTTTGCCAGCTTCATTAGCGTTCCTCTAATTAGCCCGCCGTCTGATGGATCTCTGACAGACCTAATGATTGGAGATGACAAGCTCCGCACTCATGTCACACTCACCAATTAAGCCTGCGCCATACCTCGCCATGTAGTCCTCTGGACCCCGTGTCGCCCTGATTGGGCCCCCCCTTCGCTCTCTCAGACAAAGCTGGAGGTTTACACTAAAGTTTAAATTTCCATCATCTGTAATTGACTTTTAAAGAGTTACTTTGGCTTTAGTCGGAAATAATAAACTAAAATGAAGAATAACATTTCATTAAACGTCTTTATTATTTGGTTAATTGGATAAAAAAAAAAAAGAAGATGGATGTTTTTCATTGATTTATACTTAGTGGCTTTCGTTAACTTTTGTCCATTGACTTCATTTGCTTTTTAGAAAGTGTAAATTACTTTATTTTTCTATGGGAGGTCAAAGGTCACGTCCACAGCCTTCTACATTCGTCCAATTAAAAGCAGAATTTAAAACTGACCTCGTGGCTCTGAAGCTAATCTTGACCTGAAGACTTTCAGCAGCCGTTTTACTTTATGAGCAGAATAAAGACGAAAAGATCAAAACGTTGCTTTTCTGCACCAGTTGCTGTAATTCAAGCAGAAGGAACATCGGACTCGGAACGATCCGTTAGTTCAGATGCCGAATGATACATTTTCTACATTTTCATCCAACTGCAGAAGAAGAAGAAGAAGCTGGTTTCAGGGTTGTTTTATTCCATATAACATATAAAACCTTAGGTAGCATTTTTAAAATGAATGTTTGTTTGCAAAGGTAAAAAAAATTATAAAATACTAAATTATATTATTGTGACACTTTGAGGAAATTCAGATATTGACTTTAGCTCCTAAACCGAGGCTCTGCAGCCTGCGGACCCCCTCACTGTGGCTCCATCTCTGAATATAAAAACATTTTTGATTATTAAGGCAATAAGAAAAGGTTCCTTTATGTTTTCATGCAAAATTAGTAAAAAAAATCTACAACAGCAGCAGCTGCACAAGGACTTTAACAATAATTTAATGTTTTTTAGCGTTAAACAGATGCTGTGCGTTTAGAGGTGGGCTGGCCGTCGTTCTTCATCGCTGCCATCACAGCAGATCACTCAGCTGGCCTCGTTCCACTAAAGAAAATAATTTTTTCTATTGTAAAACACAATAATAGAACATCTTGGTTTATTTTCACTGGCTTTCTCTAATTATACATCTTTATCGTAGCTCTCGATGAATTCGGCTTTAGCAGCGGTGGCTAAAAGAGAATGGAAAAGGTTACAGAAGTTTGATTCCATCCAGCTGGAATAAAATATGTTTTCTGTATGCTGGACGGTAATTCGTCACACTTGAAAAAATAACAAGCAGCCTCTTTCAAACTGCAGAATTATCTGCTCTAATTCTGTAAGATGATTGTGATGCATCATTGCTGCAAATGGCTGTTTTTATACCGTATTTACATTTTAAAGTGCTCTTCGTTATTGTCTGCATCGGCTCTGTTTAATAGGCTTTCCTTTCCTTAATGTCCACATCTGATGGAGAGTTTAGAGGC